TGCACTGCTATACCATTTTTACGTAGAAATCAAAAACCAACAGACTTCTACGTATGTAATACTGTGCGTTGGGTAACAGCTTACACGCGAAGCTCATTTAACAGATTCCTTATGTGACAACTCTCAAGCAATGCCAAGTATGCATAACAGAGCCTTAAGTCTTAAGGGCCGACTGTCAGATAATGAAAGAAAAGCCTGTCGAACGCATAAGCAAGGTAGTGTAGACTTTTTAGTGGCTATATTTTACTTACATGTGTTCAGTGTTGCCTTTGTTTTTATTTTTTACCAAAATTACCAGAAAAAGTTACCAAATTCAACAAAAAATTACCAAACTTATATTAAACTAAACTAAAATTTCGGAGCACTTCAAAATCAACAATTGTCAAGTTATGACCAATATTCACACATACCTATGTCAACAAGTGGCCGAAAATATTTTAAAAATTCAATGCTTGAAGGCAGTTCTGAACACGCTTTCGACTCAGCCATAGGCAAAGTAGCCTTTTGAACGTACATACATATTTACATAGAATTCTACTCATTTGGTTGTCGGGTTACGCCGGAGGTAGGGCCATCGACAACAGGACTCGAGTGTTCTTACACGATATGTATTTGCATCTGTAAATGTGACTTTTTCAATACATATGTAATTCGGTATATGTGTCAAATGCACAGTCTCTATTTAACTATTTAAAAATACGTTCTTTGAAAACGAAATAATTTAAACTCAGATGATTATATTTGTGTGGCAGATGAAAATAGAAACATTTCTATTTCGTATGTACGTGCATATGCTTTGTACAGAAACAAATTTAATTTGCCTTTACACGATATGTATGTATGTTGGCATTTCCATATGTAAAAAGTGGCATGTACACATGCAAGTACATATCGTATAAGAACACCTTAATAAGATGAATTGTATGAAAATGCACAAAGCATGCCACATATGTAGATCGTTGAAGCTGCAGTGCGACGCCCATCTTTTTGCGCGCTTTGACAATCAGCCGGCTTAATATTTATTTTGTTTCGTCCAAATTCGAGTTTTCACGTAGAAACATAAAACTTATTTACATTGCTGATATTTTTGAAACTAAATATTTAAAATCCACCGCAATTTTGAGGAGTAAAAAAGCAGTACAAAATTGGTTTTTTGGCGTTCATTGTGGCATACCTTTTGCATCTTTATCTTGCATCAGCTTTAGAGTTCCAGAATAGGACTTATTCG